GCTTTTGTCCTTAATAATCAGCCTCTACATTGGTACTCTTAGTTCACAAAAGTTAATTCTTAGATACTAACTGCATCTCTTTTCCATCCTAGCCGCAGCACCATAAGTCCACAGAGACACACATTTTTTATTTCAGAATATAGGGTCCATGGTCTCCATTAACGGGTTTTCCCTATCCAGATACACATCGGAGAGGTCATTATTTGCTTGAACTGTTTAGGAGGCATTCTAGAGTTGTAAGCAATAGGAATGTCAAGTGTTTATGGATGATCAACTTGTTTACTGTACAATTGCGACGTTTCGGTATAGATGCTTATACCTTTTTGAAGCATGATATATCATTATTTGCTTGTTTGTTTATTGTTTAATGCCACCAGAGGGGTCATTGTTGTGATCTTTTCTATTTAGTTTGGGGTACGTCTGACAGTTTTTAATGTTGTAAATCTGTAAATCTTCTAAAATTGTTATGGTGCCAATTATTGGGCTAATAGTATGTACTTTTATGATGTTTCCAGATCGGAGACCAACAAAAGGTAACTGTTTTCATTCTCTATTTTCCACCTATACATCAGAACGCTTTGTCAGCAAAATGCGATTTCCATCCTAGCCGCAGCACCATAAGTCGACAGAGACAAACATTTGTTAAGTCAGTATAAGGGTCCAGACTCTGGATTTAACAGGCTTTCTCTGTGCAGATACTATTCGGACATTTCATTGTTTGCTTGTTTGTTTATTGTTTAATGCCACCAGAAGGGTAATTGTTATGATATTGTTTTCTATTTAGTTTGGAGTACGTGACAGTTTTAAATGTTGTAAATCTCTAAATCTTCTGATATTCTTATGCTACCAATTATTTGGCTGCTATTCTGTAATACTATGTTCTTTCCGATCTGACCAACGCAAAGTAAGTGCTTTCGTCCTCTATATTCCACCTGTACATCAGTACTCGTTGTGAACAAAAGGTAATTCTTAGACACTACAAGGCGATTCCCATCCTAGCCAAAGTACAATTAGTCGACAGACACACTCATTTGTTGAGTCACGATCATGGTTTTTGAATTTCTTTGTCACCTTCATTCGCAATAACGTCGTGAAATAGCTTTCACCAATTTGCTTCTTTAGTTATATGCGTTGGAGGTCGCCTTCGCCTGCTGGCATTTCGGCAGCCAATTTGCTTGAGCAGTCAACTGTTGAATACTTCGGGATGTCTAGTCGGTTATGGCCTTATCCGTCGAATTTTAAACAGTCAGCAGTGCCGATCCTTCGAATCATGCTTGAATGGTTCTGTGCTAATCGGTCGAATTTCAGACCGTGTTAACACACTGGGAGAGTCTAAGTTCATTAATTAAGTGGTCGGAAGTAGCGTCACCCACTAATTCACAGTAGGAATCCGAGCTTTCAGATCCTTCAGATGGTTGATAATCTTCATCAGATCTACCATCACTTTCATCAGAGAGATCACCACCAAGCTCCCGTTGCATAAGTTCAAATAAGTTTAGTTAATCCATTTAGAATGTGCTCTGGGCACACAAGTCACAGAAGACCCGCAAAAAAGGTTAAATGAATCTGATTGCCTTGAGGAATTCTAAATGCTGGTCAAAGAGTTGTCAGTGGGGTCTGCATGGACCCCATCCGTCCTCAGTAGGGTATATGCAACACATCAACTACTTTATAATGGAAATTCTTTCTAAATCTTAAACCTGAGATTTTAAGGGTTAATGCATCAATTTCAATTTTGTACAAAAGTACAAAAATATATAGAGTCCAAACATATATTTAATGTATCAATTTCTCATTGTATCATATGAGTAGGCAAAGATATATACTGTACAAAAGTACAAAAATAAAGAGAGTCAAACCATCCAACACCCCTTGCGTCGTTTTCTTGGTAGGATCCAATGTTTTGATAACTAATTAATAGCTTTGATGACAGTGCTCATCCGTCAAATGTATTTTACTACTTTGAAATCAGAAATTCGACGGATCACCATGCCAGCCGTCACCATTTGGAATTCTTTGTAACCAGCGCCTTCAAATTCAAGATATAGTGTAAGAGAATTTTCGCCTTTGGACACTATTCATAGACGCACCAATTAGTCTCCAATGAAGTAAGATTGCTTAATTTTTGCTTTCCGCTGTATCATATTTACATTCGGATTCTTTCGTGTATAAAACATAACAAATGAATTGGCAATTGAATCGGCTGGCTGAATCTGATACGCAAGCGGTTTTATGTGTGTTTTAGCGAATTTTGGGAAAATATGAATACGTGTACATACCCTTTAATGTGGAATGAATCGAAACAGTTATTATGGTTTATTCTTCTTTGTCTATAAACGAAAAATCCACAGAATTGAACACATCCCCACACAAGTGGACATATATACAGTATTTTCAAGGAGATTCACAGGGTCTGCATTAAGATTTACATGTCCAGGTACACATCGGAAAGGTCATTATTTGTTTGTTTAGTGTTTAACGCCGCCAGAGGAGTCATTTTCATGGTATTTCTTTACTAGTATCTAGTACATGTGGCAGTTTTTAATGGCGTACATCTCTAAATCGTTTGAAATTTTGTTATTATGCCAATTATTGGGCTAATAGTATGCACTTTTATGTTCGTTTCAGATCGCAACCTAACATCAGGTAATTGTTTTCTTTCTATGTATTCCACCTATACATGAGTATTCTTTTTCAAGAGAATGTACGTATTAGATATTAACCGCTTGGGCGATCACTTCTGGTCAAACCGATGATAGTAAACTATGATTATTTAACAATAGTCATGTGATGTATTCAATATGTGTTCGTGTGGATCCCCAGTGTGACAGTAGAAACATTTTTATTTTTTCTGACACTGGCGAAACTTACAATGAAAACCGATAGGAAATGGTCGCACATTGAGCCATGACAATTACTCATGACGTCATCGAACAATGTGTGTTTGTTTTTTCTGTTAGACATGTGACATCAAGCGCATTTTCCTATCGGGTTTATATGATAATATGTTAATGTTAACGTTAACATGTCTCGCTATCGGAGACAACATTACGTTATATACGGTGTTTTACCACACACAAGTGGCCATTTATGTTATGTTACTCTCAGTGCACTATTTGTTGTAAGCGCTTGCTTGCGAGCAAAGTTGGTAATTAATTAGACGAGTCTGGATCAAGCAATCAGTCTAGTGCCATCATGTGCACTGATATATACGGTGACATACATCAATCAAATTAGCGAGCCTGAACACCCGATCTCGTTAGTGAGTGGGTGCGTTAACGAGTAATGGAGGAGTGCGTTTTATATATATTACGACGCTTTGTGCAGTTGTATAAGGGAGTGATAGCCTTAAACATGTATAGCTTCTGTAAAGGTCACAAACCATTGATAATAATGAAGTAAAATGATCGAACCCACTATCGGGCTATCGTAAGGGGCTTAACTGCACAGCGATTTCCCGCTTCTTTGACACTTGTGCACTGAAATGACCTTTCGATGGCTCATTAAGAAGTATTTCCGAAATTATATCTGAATTTGAACGTTTTTGCCAACATTTCTAATCTGCAACACGGACATCAAGTGTCATTGTGCAGCATATGTTTCATGAAGTAGATGCCTCTCTCCAGAGTGTCGCCTCCATGATGGCTACACATACAGTCAAGTCGGCATCTGCTATAAGCTGCACCACACCAAGATCTCGTGGATGGAAGCACGTGAAAAGTGTCGCGTGGAGGGTGGAGATTTGATTAAAGTCGACACCATAAAGAGGCGCAAGGTTATGGTAAGCGTTATCGGAGGCGTTCTCAAAGGGTCATCCAGCTCATCCGGGTCACCCAGGTCATACAGCTCATCCAGGGCATCCGGGCCATCCAGGTCATTCAGCTCATCCAGGCCATCCAGGCCATCCAGGTCATTCAGCTCATCCAGGACATCCAGGACATCCGGGCCATCCAGGTCATTCAGCTCATCCAGGACATCCAGGACATCCGGGCCATCCAGGTCATTCAGCTCATCCAGGTCAACCAGGTCAACCAGGTCATCTAGATCATCCAGGTCCAGCTATTGTAAGTCCTATGCTGAGAAGAAAAAATACAAGTACTATTATCCTTTACACTATTCTGATGACCACTGTTACATCAGTACATATCTATAACCATACACTAGTTTCGTACATGTACTTGTGCTTGGTGATTAACTTGAGGCTAGAGTTTTGGGAATAAAAATGCCTGCCATTAGGTTATAAAGATACATCCCTGCATTTGAACCTTCTAAAATATTAGACAGAGATGTTAATTTTCTGCATTATAGACAAAAGAAGCGGATACTGTCGTAAGGAGGAGTTCTACATCGGAGGTCAACGCAATACTAATACTGGACGTTGGGTATGGGTGTTGGACAACACCAACATTGCCAACTTCATAAAGAACGACCCCAGGTCCAACTGCATGGAACTTGAACCTGTATGCGACAGCAACGAGGTGATAATGGACGATACAAGCTGCCACTATCAGCATCAGAGGTTTTTCTGTGAGATCGTTGTAGAGTAGATTTGATCGTCAAGTACACAATTTTGACGCATTTATGGATACTCCAGAGATTCCTTCACATCATGTTTTAATGTTCATATATTCATTAATTGTTCTTTTTTTTTCAATTGATACAAAAAAAGAAAGAAACATGAGATGTTTACCAGAATAACCTCTGCCTCTCTGTCTGTCTAATCTGTCGATATTTCTGACTTGCAATCTCAATGTGTAAATAAACCAGACAACAAGCAATATATAAACATCAGTAACCCATATTTACAGACAATTCCTGCACCTGGTTGAGTATTCCGGGGAAGCAGTTGCCCTTGATTAATTCTGAAATAGCAATTGTTATATTTCTTAACATATAATTGGATTCATCTTTGTTCATTGATAAAACACTTTCTGCAGGATGTACGGGTTTTCATGTATTTTCAACACAACAACAACAACAACAACAACAAAACTTGGGAAGAGAGTCATTGGGTATTTTAATGAGCTTCATCAATGAAACAACACATGGACAAAACTATGGCAACACCTATGATTTTAACAGGATATAGTCATTTATATTCACATCATAATTATGTTTATATAGACACTCCGCGTACCCCATGCGTTGATTTTAGATATGCACCTGTTACGATCAAAGGCGAGCATTATGTGTAATAGTTGCACCCGTCATTAAGCAAGTATCATGTTCCAGTAAATTGTTCTGACAGCTCGATAAGGCGATCAGTTGATTTCGTTGTTGATTTGTTGATAAGCAAATATGGGGTCTTCACAACTGACAACTTCTCAATAATGGCAAGTTACTGAAATGCAGAATGATCGATTGTCATTGAGGGCTGTTGCAAGAGATGCTGCTTGTCAGCCACAGACTATCAGCCGATTGGCCAGAAAGTATCAGCAAACTAATGACGTTAATCACAGTCAATGCTCAGGTCGACCACGAGTGGCAACTCCTATGGAGGATACAGCCCTTCTAAGAATCACAAGACTTCATCCGTTCATGTTAAGTGGCGTGTTAAAACGGAGGGGCTCCCACGTGGTCGTTGTCTAACAGAACTGACTGCAATATAGAGAAAAACGATCGACCGATCAGACGTCCATTGTTACCCTGAGAGCACAAAGAAGCACGGCTGGCTTTGTGTCAAGCTCGAAATCACTGGAATTTGAGATTATGGGGAAGGGTCCACTGGCCACACGAAAGACGATTTCTAGTGTTCATTACTTATGGCCGAGTTCGTGTAATGCGCTGCAGAAACACTGCATAGTACTCAACGGAATATCTTAAAGCACATACCGTTTGGAGAGGGTCCATTGAAGACTGTAATCTTGAAATAGTAAAGAAATCTGAATGGACAACGGTATACCACTGACAATCCCAGACAGAGTTTTTGTACCCCACTTCGATCTCCATCCTCTGAACACAAGACCCATCTTCATGGACGTGTATGCTATCGTTCGCGTACCGTTGTTGACGCGGTCAAACGGCGGTAGCAACTCTACCTTGCCCCGCCAGGAGTCCAGATCTTAGTCCAATAGAGCATGTCTGGGAAAATACGTCAGAGGGATATTCCATCAAGCCCTACATCAAGTATGGTACGCAATACCTCGACGTCAAACTCAACGTCTGATACAGTCGGTGAGGTGAGGGTCAGGGATGTTATTGCAGTTGGCGGAGGTTACACCAGACGTTGAGATTGTGCTCGCTTATTGATACTTATGTGATTTCTTTAGGATTGTATGCCAGAATCTGATACCATACACGATATGGGGTGTTGCGATAATTTTTGCCATGTGTATATACCGTTAACATCAACAATGGCAGAAATCTATGCGAGACTGTTTGATAATAGGGTTGAATTCAATTTGGTAATGGCCAACTCTATATTCAAGCCACTTCATGCTTTGCCTTAAAAAATCGTTTGATTGAGGTGCAGTCGAGCATGCTCCTTCTACAATGTCAGAGTTAATACGCGTCTCTTATTGTGTGAACAATAAAGTGTTCTGAAAGGCATCTGAAGATATTACAGTGGTAGTACAAAAAAGAATGTCAGTACAAATCCAAAGGCAGTCGCATAATATAACAGTGATTATAGTAATGAAGACAGAGATGGTAATATCCACCTGACTGCAATAATGATCATGTTTCCGAAATAGGACGGGGCTGAGTGTCCAGGATAGAAATGATCTCCAAACATTTTCTGATCTGCTTGTAACTTGAGATGTATTGTGAAATGAGAGGCAAGAGTAAGCCGCCCTTATGCCCCTGAGAAAAATGAGATTCTCCAACTCCCCCTAGGGTCGTAGGACCCTGTACTGAGACAACTGAGGAGCTCGAGTGGTCAGACTTGGATGATGTTTGTAATCGTATCATACACAAATATCGGTGATTGATGTTCATGATGTCAGTCACTAAAATGTCTGCTTGAAAATAGATTACAGAGCTAAACAACAAAGAAACAGACAGACAAAAACATACATTGATACGTGAGCTTTTGGAGTAGTATGTATAGACGGGTGTCAACACAATGATATCCACACAATGGAACGTGAACAATAGAAGCAAATAGTTGTCACTGAACATAACGTCGGATATCGATTTTCAACGCTCTGCCATCGTGCGAAGATCCTGTGTTGCTTTGTATTGATGGTCATCAGTAGACTGTATCCATTGTCTTCATACAGCATTGACTCTGACGCACAACATCTACAACACTAAGCAACGTATCCGACCCTGCACTATCATGTCTCTTAAAATTCAACTGCTGTTTAAAAGTAGCAAACGTGCCACTGTGAACAGCTGTGTAACATTTTGTGGGTTCTTTAAACCTACACTGGCCTAACGGGTACAGCAGAAGGGAGAATATGTGATCACATGACGCATCTTCAGCAAAATTGAAATCACAGGCATTTACTGTGTCCTTACTTTTTACAAAAAGTGACTCCTTGGGACCAAACTCAGAAACAGGTTTCTCTTTTGTAAAATGCACGATGCTATCAGTCTCTTGGAAATGGCAAAGTGTATCTGCAGTGAGTGCCCTTGATGTAGCAGCCACTGTCCAAAAGTTGCACATATTGCGATAGTGCAACGCTGTGGCATCATCCTGCTGATGTGAACACTGCCACATTTCCCTGAACTAGGAAACTCTCACTTGCCACTCGGTCAGTAAGAAAGTACATAGGATTTGATGTTATGAATATGTGACAACATTCCCCCAAAGCCATTAGAAAAATGCATATTTCTTTTGGTGGATTTCAAAGTGCTGTATTTTGGGGTACTCTCTTGGACTGACTAGATGTACTTTCATAGAGATTGATTGGTCCTCGCTGTAGACCTATTTGCTTTTTTGGCCGACAATTATGAGAGATTGTTGTTCAAAGTTTATTGGATAAGTTTAAAAGATATCTTATATTAAGAAAGGAAACATTTAAAATCACTGCAGGTATAACTGACATAAATAGTTTTCCATATCCCAAGTGATATCACACGAGTGTGAGTCTTCCTGTCACTTCCAAGTGTCATTTCTTGAAAGTTCCATAGGTATATTTAGAGTTTTCTCCCTTTGATTCTCACCTTACACGGCTGATACACTGCCCGAGCACGACATACCTTTCCATAGCCACAAAGAACACCACCCACAAGCAAATACAGTGACACTGAAGGGCGCCTTTTGTGTAGCACTTGATGGTTCGAAAAAACCGAAACGTCCATGTTTGTAACCTGACTAAGGTTGCACAAGGTGTGTCATCACACTTAATACATATCTACCTATACCAAGGAGGCTTAGAATAACAGACAGACCAGTGATGAAAAACATGAACAACGTTAACGATCTACACAATCGTAACTCAAACATCACCCACTTTAACCATGAACAGTATACTGTCCTGACATCTCTGTCTGGTTTGGTGCATCACCCGCGTGTCAGGAACACGTGTCTGGCGCTGCCATGGTGACATAATACATGTATGTCCAACTGTATCACGGTGGCATGTAAATGATCAAGTATGTAAGTGAGTGCATGTTGTAGGTCATTTTCATCACCTAAAAACAATTGATGTTGGTTGGTTGATTTGTTGTTTAACGCCGCACTCAGCAATATTCCAGCTATATGACGGCTGTCTGAAAATTAGTCGCCCCTTACGACAAGCATGGGTTACTGAAGAGCGATTCTATGCGAATGTCCGAGAAGCAGGGGGCACTAAAGGTCTGCCATGAGCGAGTATACCCACATGGTCATTCAAGGGTCCTCGGAGCGGGGAACAGGAAAGTCGCAAAAATAAATTCTGATACAGTCAAAACAATGTTTAAACAAACCATAAAGATATTTCCTTGCCTGATATCGATTGCATTTGATCCATGTAACATACGAGGGTTTGGAAGTGTTTTATTATATGTATTAATTTTTTCAACTGGTTTTGCCAACTGCTATTTGTACTCCGACAAGAATGTTCGATAACAAGTAACAAAGTAATAAAGTACTAACCCTTGAATTCTTTTAACGTATGTTGTGTTGGATTAAACTGTACATGTGTCTGAGCGTATGAATTATGCAAGCTTCTCGAAGGAGTCTTGTCAATAGCGATGACTCATCGCTCAGGGAATTCCACACTCTATTTCTTTCTGTTCCTTCTAAGCACGCTTTTGAGAACCAGTCGAGTGTAACTAAATGTTGCTAAATTCGACACCGACGTATTGTGTCGTAAACAGTGCAAGCACAAAGCGTGAACAAGGAAGTAAGTAATTGAAATCAACTACCCAATGGTGTTACAGGACGGACGAGGACAACTCGGAAAGGCTCCACACAAATGTACCAGGAAGTCAAGGAAAGACCTCCAACTGAGCAATATCGATGTTAGCTTAACACTGTCAGCCAATAGCTGATTAAATGAACAACAATCCACGTTGCTATGTTGTACGTACTAAGCTGATAGATGATATTGGTATGTGGTCCCATAATATTTAAATTCAGCAGTTATAGCACCCTCCGGACCACTCCGATATTCAATATTTAAGCATTATATGGATCACATTATGAATCATTAGATATTGTGATATTGTTAAGTGAGGTGGTCCTTGACTTTATTGTTGAGTATATTATACTTCTCTGAAAATATCTCACTTAAAACACTCACTATATGTTATGCACACACACACACACACACACACACACACACACACACACACACACACACACACACACACACACACACACACACACACACACACACACACACACACACACACACACACACACACACACACACACACACACATATTGTTACATCGAAGAATGATTTCTTCACTAACTTGGGGGAACCAACTGCAAACCTCATGCAGATGAATTATACGGGGATCATGCAACAAATTGCTGTAAAGCATGTGCAAATATCGTGCATGTGAACAGCTTCGTTGGGGTGTAAAGTTGTGTAAAGAATTCTCCAATTTTCACTGATTTACATCATTTACTGAACTCCTGAAAATAATCTTTTCAACGTTACGAATTTGTTTTACAATTCATCAGTTCATGTGTAAACAGTACCTTTAAACAGTATGAAATATTTAGCAAACTTTGGTTTAGAACAGTTGCCTGAAGTAAGTGGCTATATTTACACTAGTGAGTCATAACTTTTTAAGAGAAGTATATATATATATATATATATATATATAGCCATATAATAAGTAACAATTGATAGACCACACCTGGCTCGTTTATATTGTGGTTGTTGTAAATATTTTCATACGTGTTATTATTGTGACTTACAAGTACAACATTTTGTACATGTTGCCAAACACCACAGACAGCGTACCCAAATACAACGTTCCCCGCGTCTCACGATTCTAGCCCTACCTAGAAGATTCAGTCTATGTTGAAAGGGTTCATGACATCCTCTGAAATGGTCGATACGCCAGAATGGCCACAGCACGCAGTCGTCTCATCACTGTGTCCCTGCTGATACTGGGTGTATCCAGTTGATAAATGCGCAGGTGATGTTGCTCACTCTCTGGGATTTCAGATTGTCAAATATCTGGCCAGTCTGCCTGACGCGGCTCATTAGTCTGTTAATAGTCTGCATTCTATAGCCGAATCTTCTGACAATATAGCTTTTCGAAGCCACCATCTGAGACATCCCAAGAGCTCGTTCTGGCTGATAATCCTGGCATTGTGGTGTGAGCCTTTAACAGGTATACAACTAACGATCACCATCGTTAAAAACTGTTGCGGAATAACTAGTACGTGCGACAAAATCACGTTTTTAATAATTTGCGCCTGTACTGTAGTGTGCCGTACTGTACTGCCCAGAACTGTAAATGATATCTGCAGTGTTCAGGCAACATGTACTCAATGTTTGTGCCAATGAAAACACTCAGGTTGGTATGCATACGAAATTATCATTGAACAATAAGCGTTGGGTGTAGCTAAACGGTTAAAGCGTTCGCTCGTCACCCCGAAGACCCGGGTTCGATTCCCCACATGGGTAAAATTTTCTGAAGCCCATTTCTGGAATCCCCTGCCGTGATATCGCTGGAATATAGCTAAAAGCGGCGTAAATCTGAACTCACTCACTTTGGGTAGGACATGCTTACCCGTTTCGCGAGCCACCGGGACGCGCTTTAAGCCCAGTGAAAAATGTTCTGGATAATGGAGACAGTGTATTCTCTGGCATTGACAATATATATTTGCTCTTCGGTGTGTTCTTGATATACATCTATACAAACCCGCTCGTCGTGTGCCTTGACAGTTATCAATGGCAAAATGATCACAAGTTAATGTTAATCTCTAATCTCCATCGTTTCCGGCTGATCGAATATCTCATTTAATCGTTTCATTAAAAACACTGTCTGCCACTTCCTTTCGTTTATTGTTGAATGTATTTTAAGGACAAAGATACAAAGCAGGCAATTCAATGTAACACTGTTTCAAGATGCCAGACGTCGTTATGATGATAAACGTTGCTAAAACAACTCTCGCGCTGAAAATGAGTGCAATGCATATTACTCACATCTAAATTTTGTTTGTGATGGCAAAATCACCATCTGGCTGTAAGGTCTAGATAGGCATTAGAAGTAGCAAGTAAGCGTGGGGTATATAGATGAACAACTTCTTTATCAAGTTTTACACAATGCACAGCGACTCAAGGACAACTCTCGACACTGACAAATGTCCCTGACACTGCAGCTTATCAATGAATACATATAACACGTGTCATTTGTTTAATAACCATGGCTCAGCTTACCATTTCGTTTTGGGGACTCTTTTGTACAATATCTTAACATACAGCTAGTCCCACTACAATTTACTGGTAGCATAACATTTTCAATTCTTCCCGGAAATGAACAATTCTCTCAGTTCTCAGTCATAAAAATGTTTTAGATTTTAACATATAAAAAGACTTACTGACATCAAAAAGTAATACCTTGTGAAAGAGTGTCAGTTGAATATCATGCAAGCGTGTAATGTAAAATTACTAACATCTTCATCTGTAAAGCTAAAGAACGTAACATCAAAGCGCACTGGACTGAATCGCACTGAATCTCGACATGTTTCACAAACATGTTTCACAAGATAATCATCGGACAAGCAAATGTGAGGATATGTGTTTTAAGTAATTGAAACAAATAAAGATGCACAGTGCAAAATTACACATAATCACGTTGTAATAATTAGTCTACGTAAATTCTAAAAAAGCTATTAACATTCACCGTCTTTGCCAAAGAGCCTTATATCGGATTTTCCTTAGTTTTAGGTTTCCTCATGCACATACAGATCACTATGACAACCAAGTACAACTGCAACAGTTACGGCCGCTCCCAGGCCTATTCCGACCCATATCAAGAAGTTGGTGGCAGGCTCGGATGCAGGCTCAGGGGCAGGCTCAGGGGCAGGGTTTTGTTGCGGAATGGTGAGAGGCTTCAAGGTGATGGAACGAAGGTTCGACAACTCTGACTGGCGACTGGCTTCGTCGAACGCTTTAAGCCCAAAACGTAGAAATCACTTGGCCAGTTGATCGGTAACCGAATCGTGACCATTTGCTGCGATCTTGCCGGAAGTGGGTCCAAGCTTCCGGTGACTAAATCTTCGTTCATAACCATCGAGGCTTGTGTGAAGTTAACTCTGAGGCTCGCAAAAGTCACCGCAACCCGCAGCTCATATTTTGCAACTGCAATGAACAACTGCCATGTGTGATTTAAATGTAAGACTGTTAACATATTGTAAAAGAAATTAAAACAAGAAGTATATCTCTGACAACGGCTTTTGTGTAAACATAAGCTTTATGTTAGTGGCGCAAATGTTATATTAATGAAGATACCAGTATCAAAGTTTTACCTGAACAAAACCGTTAACATAATCAATTTCTTGTAACAGGAGACCCATATAGCTGGAATATTGCAGGGTGCGGCGTTAAACAACAAACAAAATGTAACAAGAGACAGAAGAATACGTTCTAAAAGAGGGTTGGTGTAACCGACAAGGTCAAAATCAGATGTGGCCACCAGATGAGTTGATACAGGGGAGGCAGCAGCGGCGGGTCGGATTCAGAAGATGATTGGCAGCAGAGATTTGTCGTCCCGGTAGCGTACGACGTTCAAAATGCCATGAAGAATGTTGAATTGAGATCTCTCATGAGTTGTGATGCTACCCAATATGATTACAATTTTAGTTTGAACCTGACTATGGTGGTAACGAAACCGTCACCAAAACGGTCTGTTCCTTGCACGACCTTTAGAGCTGACTCATCTGTGAACAACCTACTGTCCAACGCTTGCCTTCTGAATCTCAGACGTTGTCAACATCACGTTGTACCAACGGTAACGTGGAGGCACATTTGCTGCACCCCGAGGCTGGGCGTTTTGCTCCCTGAGCCGGATGCCATGAATTACTTTCAACACAGGAATTGTACGAACTGTTAGTGTGGCAGTTTGGTATCGATTTCTTTATACGGGTGTCCTGGTGACGCCCCACGGGCCTACATACACAGACAGATGGGCCACGGGACGACGGGCCACGTCATGTCATGAATGTTGCCCTGCTGTAGATGACGTCTCCTGAGAGAATCTCATGATAACATGTTTTGATATGGATGAAATTCCTGTTTCCTCACGGCGCGCAAACGATGATTTACAAGCAACCTTGGCATTGCGTGGGAGTTATTGACTATTAAAGAAAGGGATGGCTAAATTATCACTGTGCGTTGCACACATTTAAGAAAAACACATGTGCGATTATCATGGGTCCAGCAAACGCTCAAAACGCGCATCGAGGATATGTCTTCAACAATATGCATTTAAATTCGGAATAAATTTTGGTTAATATAACTTTATGAAAACCACAGTTACGTTTCCTTTAGTACTTCTGGTCCTCACCTTTTCCGACATTCAGGTCATCCCCTGGAGCAGTTCAAGACAAGGTCACGGTCTGATTGAGTTTGTTTTCTATAGCAATGTCAAGGTCGGTGACTCGTCCTGGATCCAGCTGGTCAACTGAGGAATTATAGCCAGATATATCTATGGCATCTGGAGAAGCTGTTCTGCTGAAAGCTTCCACCGTTTCATTCCTCACTGGTGGTGTTGTGTCTAGAAGAAACATACGACCATCAAAATCAGAAAAGGTTGCAACAGTCACGTGTATCAACAGTCACGTGTACCAATACGGTTGTTTCTTCCCTTCATGGAGCGTATGTGTACGTGTCTGGATAAGATGGGGAGTGGGTAGAATGAATGTTACTTTACTCTTGTGTCACCGTGGTATATAAATAACAGATAGAGTCCTACAACAAACCCCACATAGGTACGATGACAAGCTGTTCTGATGAAAGCTTCTATCCTTTCATAACTCACTGGTGGTGTTGTGTCTAAGAGAAATATACGACCATCAATATCAGAAAAAGTTGCATGATAGTTTTAATGGTGTTTGCAGTGACAGCAGTGCACGTTTAGTAACACTGTTACTTCCTCCCTTCATGGGTCATATGTAAACGTGTCCGGAAAGTTTGACGAGTGAGTAAAGTGGATATTGTTTTACGCGTGTGTCTCAATGGTATATAAATAATGGCATCACGTCCTACAATGAACTCTGCAGGGGTATGATGACAATACACCAGCTGAGCTAACATCACAACCCGATTCCCGCAATCCCTACAAATCACTGAGGGTCATTTTGGGATAGATCATGAATAACCTATCTTTCTCATAAGAGTCGGACAGTAAGGGTTGGACCATTTTCCAGTTTCATGGAACGTTGAGTATACTATTATAGGCTAGTGTCGTATAGCTAATGGAACGACGTTACTCAGCATTCACTTACATAATCAAAATTACTCGAAACATTGAAATCCATTCATCCAAAAAGTGCACATCAACCATGGATTAAGACAACTGAAATTTGCTGATAACCGAGTGATGAAGCATACAAGTTAGATGTTAGATACTGGTTTTAATGAAAACGTGGACTCAGTTAGTAGTTCAGCTGTAGTTCAGTTAAATCAGGGCGTGTCCGCCTCATGAAGATGAAAAGCCCAAATCAATAGGCTTTTGGTATTGTTGAAAGTGATGGGCTCTATGGCGTAACAAATCAAAATCGAAGTGAATAAGCGATACGTGCTGATCGGGGCTGATACAGAAAAGCTGATACGACTGGAACATTTGTCTTAAAGTACATTTGTCTTTAAACTACCTGATCCAATTTAAGGTTGTGTGATACTCGTTTATGGTAGATGGGGACGGGTGGACTAGTCTTCTGAGGCTGTACAGAGTTGTGGTCCTCTGGCATGCCAGAAACGTATGATCTTGGGTTCGGATTCAGGGTTCGTCACGACTATGTTTGAAGGTTAGTCAGCACCAGAACTCATGTTCATGTGTTTCGCCGAAGGTCTAAGACCAGCATCCCTTCAGACTAACATCCAACATTAAGCTTATATGCTGATATAACTGGGCTAATTAATGGCCTACAATGGACAAACTCTTGTCTTGTTGTCAAGTGTTGCTGTATAAATATAACACTTACTCTGAAAGACAGAGAGTGTTCTGCCAGACAGGGTGTTCCCAGATTTGATGATGACAGTCTCTCCCTCCACCGACTCAACCCTCACATCCATAGAGTAACGGGAGTTGGACTTGAAGCCGAGCAGATAGTTGCTGTAAACGCCGTCATTGGCTGTGTTGTCAGGGACTGTGAAAAACGAACAAGTAAGAATACTTCAGCTCTACGAGCAATAGGCAAAACATAATAATATAATTATATTTCGGTACCCAATACCAATGCAATCTGAAGCATTCAATTTGTAAAATATCTTATGCATTCGAAATATTAGGCACACTTTGTTCTAGTGACTACTCTGGAAATTTTTTTTGAATGTATTTTGGGCCTACGGCCCTTTTTACCGAAAATAAACTCTGTCTCTGTCTCTCCCTTCTGTTGCATTTTACGGTTATGGCCCGGGAAAGCGAAATCTGGATTAAACCTCCTCAATTTAGGTTTCGCTTTCGCGGGAACGGTCAAGCTACAGTGAACACTGAATTTAGCGTTCCCGAGACTCTTAATACACAAGAAAAACAAAGAAGTGTGAGTCGTCGTCTGATACCGTAGTCATGGTAGAAATTTAATATATAGATAACAATAAATGTTTGAGTCACAGACTGTTCATCGATAAGTCACATGGATGGATCATGTGGAGGTGGAATTGAAAATATCGTGCATAGACAACTTACATCGTTAAGCATTCATTGACGCAATTTACGTTACCGCAATGTAATTTACGTTACTTATACATAAAGGGCGATAACAACCTAAAACTACTTTCACTTGCCAAAGTTTGATTCACATTTGACATTTCGGCAATACCAGACAACAAAACACAAAAGTTTCGCGAAACATTCCAAATTTCCAAATATGGCGGTAACGTAAATTATAGTAACGTAAATTAGTTCTGGTAATGAATAATGTTATGGCAAGGTGAATAAATACAGAATGCTTGGTTGGGGCACATTTATAACAACAGACCGCCGGGCCCCAAATGTACAGTGATGAAGACTATTACTGGGATGCTAGATTTGAGCTATAACGGTAACGAATGATCACTTGCTTAAAAAATCTCTACTGATTTCGATCATATTTTTCCATCTTGTAAGCAAAATCAATGTTAACTATATGTTTTTAGGTATCGAGAATAGATGAACAGGCCAATCAAGAAAAATTATCTTGTGGGTCTGTGCGATGATTTACCACAAGAAAAGCTGTAAACAAACACAACGTAACGTAACTTACTCTGACTCTACCGACATACGTGGGTTTGGGGTTTTGGTTGGTTAACCACCTTTCATGACACTAAATATAACAAAACTTCCGTTGGATAAAATTGTGCAGCAAGCTTAAATGCAAAGAATACGTACTACCGACATAGCTACGGAAGCGTAGTAGGGCCACGGTGATCTCCTACGTAGGACTTAATATCTCCTACGTAGGACTTAGTATCTCCTACGTAGGACTTAGTATCTCCTACGTAGGACATACTATCTCCTACGTAGGACTTAGTATCTCCTACGTAGGACTTACTATCTCCTACGTAGGACATACTATCTCCTACGTAGGACTTAGTATCTCCTACGTAGGACTTAGTATCTCCTACGTGGGACTTAGTATCTCCTACGTAGGACTTAGTATCTCCTACGTAGGACTTACTATCTCCTACGTAGGACTTAGTATGTCCTATGTACCTATGTTGCCGTGGTAATCAGAGGTCTATCACTTAGAGGTCTGTCACTTTTTGCGTAAAATTGCTTTGTTGATATCGGTCTGATAAACGACTGATAGAACACTGAGGCGACGTGCAACGGCAAGAGACTCTCCAGCCTCCAAACATCCAATGGCGATGTTTCGATTTACAGCAGTGAGATGACATAACGATATTCTTTCAGTTAGATAAAGAATGCCAATGATCGTCTTCAAGCCATGTATGTAGCCAATTTCCCTGCTTACGATTCCTCAGAACATTGCAAGCCACTTTTCCCATGACATATTCATGCAAGTTGACATTTTTCTATATAACGACTATGCGTTTTTGCGCAGTGTATCTGTTCCATCTACACAAACCAGCATTATGATGGCAAAATTATAACAAAAATCCCAAAAGAACAACGCCATCATGCTCAATCGGCGTTCGTTTCTTTTTCTTTGTATGGAATGGTATACTTGACCATTCCGAGTTTTGTACTAGTTACATCATGGTTGCCGAATAAACCGCATGGTGAGATCGGTTATGTTCACTGGTGTGGTGGCAGCGGCATTCTTACTCACGTCAATAATCCGACAAATAGGATTCCAGTGACATCGTTTATTTTCATATCTACACAATCTATGAGCAACCTGCACAAACATGTTATGTTCATTGGACGTTCAAATAACGTCGTGAGTGCTTGCAATTTCGTGATATTATTGTAATCGAAATCATGGCTCAAAATCGGGCTCCAATGCAGTGGCAGTTGACCAAACACGAAACCATAACCTCTTTTGAAAACTGGCGACAGAATCCAGTTTATATCTTGTCATCAGATGACAATTTCTCCCCTTTTCTCGCAGATGACTTCACGTGGGAGAAAAAACCCTGCCGTTAATCCTACTCGGGGCTTACAGGACAATGAAAAACAGCAGCGCAGAAAATGTGCAGCTTGACTTTGACAGCTTGACTCTGTTCATGACATATGGCAGAAGGTCAGGCAGCATTATGGGTTCCAATCCACTGCAACCAATTTTCTAGATGGTGTTGACATAGAACTCCAGACAGAGGAACGTCATGAGGACTTGTTTCAAAGGCTGGTCGCTTTCATAGAAGACAACCTTCTCACTACCGGATGTGGCATTCAACACCATGGTCTGGAACCAGTCGCTGATGACGAATCTCCCCAACCATGAAAATCACGATTATTGTGGTTACAGCTGATCCATCCTGGTCTCCCTCAGCTTGCAAAGCGAAAGTATGGGTCTGAATTCCATAATCAGACTCTGGCGTCACTCCAACCTGAGATTTCACAAGCCTGTCGTCATTGCTGGACGAACTGTGTAGCATTGCCTGACTGACTGAGTTTGGTTTTACGCCGCTTTAAGCAATATTCCAGCAACATCACTGCGGGGGACACCAGAAATGGGCTTAACACATTGTACCCATGTAGGGATTCGAACCCGGGTCTTCGGCGTGACGAGCCAACGCTTTAACCATTAGGCTACCCCACCACCCCGTGTAGCATTGAAGACACAAAAGCCTTCAGAGCTTATACGTCCACCTTCCCAAACAACAAACAGTCTCCCACTAGTCTCAACCAGATGTCTAAGTAAGTAACCCTTCAGTGGGTAAATTCTGTATCTTGTGCAAAACAGCTGAGCGTCCAGCTTATAATACCCATTACCTTAGGAGTTGCAGATATTATGAAAAGCGCATGATGTCTGGCAGTTCGAGGTTTATTGGCTTGGAGGAAGAGTAGTGAGTGCTCAGACGATGATCAGGAAGAACAACAGAACCTCTTATTTGATCAGCCCAGCATTAAACGTGTGAGTGTTGAACCCTCCCCATACCTCAACGCCTTTTATGAGCCTCACCCTGTTCGTCTAACTTTAGACACTGGTGCTACGAAAAACATGGTAGGCGGGGCAGGGAATCTAGATGAATAGACTTGGCTGCTAGGGGTAGATTAAGCACATGCAATATATGCTGACCAGGCATGAACTTGATACCGCTTCTGTTTAACACGTGGGAGAATGGGCAAATCGTTCATTCTCAGGCAAGGGAGTCAACCAAAGTAGACGCTATGTCAAAAAGTAGCCTTGCTACTGGTCTTTCCTTTAAAACGAATTAAAGCAGTAGGTGACAGGGGTACGAGTAGGCCTACTTTTATAAGTTGCGCAAACCCAAAACTTCCAAGCACAAACTTGATGATTTTGACCGGTGTGCAGTCCGTCAATTTGTACAAAGTTTATATGGAGTACAAAAGCAACTGCCTACTCTAGATATGATATATGATATGGCAAGAAGCCAATTGCATTACCAGGGTTCAAAGGAAAGTTTTGAAAAAATCTGAAAGACATGGGGTTTAGGTGGCGAAAAACGCAGTCAAATCGTAAGGTTTTAATGGAACGAAAAGACATCCTTGCAAAGCACATGCAATACGAACGTGCAATATAAAATGTCGAGATGAACATCGAATAATCATCTTTGTTGATGAAACATTGTTCCAGCATTGTACCAAAATGTTTGCAGCTTGATGGTGAGGTTGTGATAAATGGGGTTCAGACGTCCGGTACCGGACCTCGGCTTATTGTTGTTCATGTGGGGTCCGAAAACGGTTTTGTACCAAATGCTTTACTTGTGTTTGACTCAAAGCTCAAATCAGCAGATTATCACGACGAGATGAATTTTGATAATTTTTCCAAGTGGCTGCAGAAAAATTTATCCCACACATTCCACCCCACTCCGTCATTGTTATTGATAATGCGCCTCACCACAGTAAGCAAGTGGACAAATGTCAAACAACGGCTAACAGAAAAGATGATATCAAAGCTTGGCTACAAAGGCGCAATATTGCATTTGACGATAAAATGCTCAAAGCTGAACTGTTGTGTCTGGCAAAATCCAACATATCGGGCCCTGTCTATAGAGTAGACACTATGTTGAAACAACATGGCCATGATGTACTACCTCTTCCTCCTTACCAAGCAGAATTGAACCCAGTTGAATTGAACTGGGCCAATGTCAAAAATTATGTTGCTAAACAAAACTTGCAGTTCACAAAAACTTTGCTAAGAGTTGGCATAAACGAGAAAATGTCTGGAATGGTCTGAAAGTTGTAAACATGTTAAAACCATTGAAGATGGCTACTGGCAACAGGAAATTGCAGTAGAAAAGGAAATTGACAAAATCATGATCGAAGTAGGACTGGCAAGTGATTTAAACACCGAGACCCATTAAGAAAGTGACGACTAAGGCCCGAAGTACGCCTGAATCAGTAAATGGTTCGGTATTTGACCCCTGTGTGGAGAGGATGCACCAGAATATATACCGATTATACATCTGTTTGTAAACATAACAAATGTTCTTTTCTCTAGCATTTGTTTGTGGTGTTTTGTAAATAAAGTTATATTTGTCTTTGTTCAGTTTCTAAGGATCTTAGCTTTACACACAC